CCATAGGTCCAACATCTGTCCTGGAAGGCGAGCCAAGCAAAAAACCGGCATCTGAGCGGGGCCTTGGATTTCCACGTGAAGCTGGCAGCAGGCGCAACCTCCCTTCCCTAGTAACATGTTGCGTAAGCCGATCTTGCTGAGTACAATCCATCATTTTCCCAAGCCCACCCGAGAGAGTCATCCGTCTCAGGTACAAGCTGGACCTGCGTCACGTGCACCCATAGTGTGAGATAATTGCTCAGCATGTGATCCGATATGTCCATACCAACGTCCAAGGCCCATGCTCCGTTCAATAACCCTTGGCATACCATGCGTGTACTTCTAATAGCTGGCGAGATTTGGGCATAAACAACGGGCCAATCTCCTCCACACGATGGCCATGGAGCCGCCTATCTTCCCAGAATAACGTACTAGGTCCGTTTGCAATTGTAGTCCAGGCAACGGCCTTGAATAGCTGCATAACCTTCGGTACTGTGATTTCAAACTCTGCCCAAGGTCTCGATGAGTCCACTCTCTTCAATCATGGCCACCTTGCTTGCATTACCACATTGAGCCACTTGAGATTCGGGATACCTAGTCCACCATCCCACCTTGGTGTGCATACTTTCTCCCAAGCAACGGAGCACTAACCTCCATTCGCCTCCGCTCTTGCACACCATAAGAATCCTCGGCGGATTTTCACCATGGCCTTAATCGTTTTGTGAGGGATATCCAACACCATCATCACATGAATTGGGATGGCCGAGAGCACAGAATGGACAAGCACCATCCTTCCACTCTTTGGCATGTTCACAACCTTCGAACATGGCAGACATGCAGCTAGTTGGTCCACGAGACCCGATAGTTGTGCCACGGTCTGCTTCCAGATGGTAAGCGGCAATCCCAAGTACTTGCATGGGAAGGTACCACAAGGCAACGGAGAATCTGTGTTACTAGTTTTCTTTGGAAGTCACACATCCTTTTTACTATGAGTACCAAGATAAGCATGGTCCTCGGCGAATTTTTAAGAATGAGCACCGAGATTTTCTCTTGACGAGTGGTTTCATCACACGCCGATATTGATCCTAAATAAATGAGGAAAAAGCCATGTGCATTACCTATCAATTATAGGAATTGAATTAGGGTGATTGGGTTGCACAATAGCATGCCTACCCACTAATCCTCGTAGGAAAATGATCTAAAGCTTCTTTATTCAGCGCTGCTATCGCCACCATCGAAAGCAAGACGGTGAACGACCCAAAAACATAAACTACTAGGCCCTAACATAAAACTACACAACCCACACACGTAGATCTGGCGATCCCCTTCACCACTGACGACCGATGTCGTCGGCGAAGGGGAGTCGTCAAAGAAAAGGGTGGGAGGAACTCGCAGGGCTGCGGCTAGGGTTTCTAGTCGCCTCGCAAGAGGAAAAACTGTGACTACCACCTGTACCAGAAACAACCAAGCTGCCCTTATTGTCTCGCAGTCAAAACCCGGAGCGATGCATTGTGGACATACGATACGGACCATGTGGATGCAGATCATGTGTGCCCATAAGGGCATGTACATGTAATTTAGAGATGACAAAAGAAAATGTCTATAATGGATCATCTCTTAGCCTTATCTTCAATAACTAGCAATTTCTAAAAACATGATGAGACATATTATTATGCTAAGAGATCATCTCTTGTCTTCTCTTAAATAAGAGAAGGCAGGCCTTTTCTTAAGAGTTCTCTCTCCTGCATCTCATCATTTATCATAGATGATATTCCTAAAATAACACCATTGTACATGCCCTAAGGCCAACTCCACCGCGCGACCCCAAACATACGTCCATTTTGTCCGGATTCTGTCTGTTTGGGTAGGGCGATGGGGTCGTGTCCGGTCGTGTCCTGGGATGCGGTGGCCGTGCGCCCAGCGCGCGGCTTCATCCCTTTGCCTCATCCTGCCCGTCAGGGCCAAAAATGCCCATATTTTCATCAAAACTAGTTTTACAACCCAAATATTTGTGTGAAAATTATAATAGTTTTACAACCAAATCGAAATTGTCTTGACTGAATATAAAATGGACCAATACATCTATTGGTTGCCAATGTGATCCCACACGTACTCAACCAAGTCATTTTGAAGATTCAAATGAGTGTGCCAATCACGCATCTCACGGTGGAATTGGGAAAACTGTTTAAATGTGGCCGGGTCTTGGTGCAGGGGCTCAATATTTTCACCTTGATAATCAAATCCTTGGTCGAAGATACTCTCATCACGCTCGTCCTCGACGATCATGTTGTGCATGATCACACAAGCAGTCATCACCTCCCAAAGCTTCCTTTCATCCCATGACAGTGCAGGGTTTCGAATGATACCCCACCGGGATTGAAGCACACCAAAAGCACCTTCCACATCCTTTCTAACACTCTCTTGCATTTGGGCAAATCTCTTTCTCTTCTCACCTTGGGGTTTCGAGATTGTTTTCACAAAAGTTGACCACTGAGGATATATACCATTTGCTAGATAGTATCCCTTGTTGTACTGGTGGCCGTTGATCTCAAAGTTGACAGGTGGGGAGTGGCCTTCTGCAAGCCTCGCGAAGACTGAAGAACGCTGCAGCACGTTGATATCATTGTGAGAACATGCCATGCCGAAGAAAGAATGCCATATCCAAAGATCCTGCGATGCCACCGCTTCTAATATGACAGTGCACCCGTTGACATGCCCCTTGTACTGGCCCTACCAAGCAAATGGACAGTTTTTCCACTCCCAGTGCATACAAGCCATGCTGCCAAGAATGCCGGGAAAGCCTCTAACTGCATTGGTTGCCAACAATCTCTCTCTATTAGCGGCAGTTGGCTGCCTCAAGTACTCTGGGCCAAACACCTCGATCACAGCCTGGCAAAACTTGTACATTGACATCAGACATGTTGTCTCACTCACGCACATACTCATCCACCAGATCGCCTGGAATTCCATATGCAAGCATGCGGATGGCCGCGGTGCATTTCTGGTAAGAGAAGAATCCAAGCTTGCCAAGGGCATCCGTCTTGCACTCGAAGTATGGGTCATGAGCAACCACTCCCTCTCGGATACGATTGAACACATGCCTTGCCATTCGAAAACGGCGACGGAATTTATCCGGCTTGAAGAGCGGGGTGTTGGCAAAGTAATCGACATAGAGCAGGGTGTTGCCTCTCTCCCTGTGGCGGTTCAGGTTGGGAGCACGGCCAGGGACTAACCCCCTGTACCGAGGAAGCTGTTGTTGAATGTGGTCGTGAACGACCAGTGCAGCCACCACAAGATCTTCATCATCCGATGACGAATCGTCCGATGAACAAAGGAAGTGATGGAAGAAAAACTCGTCTCCACTGTCCATACCTTTGTGGGCAAAATGTCCAACACCTTACGGTCGTGGTGGCGAAGAGGCCGTGATGATCACCTCGACGCAGCAGGGGTGGTTGATGGCCGGCTATTGGCCGCTCTGGAGCTCTCGTCGGAAGCTGCCGAGGCCGCCGTGGTACGTCGCTGGCAGGCGTTTCCCCTCTGCGACCGGCAAAGACGGCGACGGCCAAAACTACGGCCAAAGCGCGGGCGTGGTGGCGGCCATGTCGAGACGTGGTTTGGTAGGGACGGCCGGGGGCTGCGCGATGAGGAGGCGACCGGAGAATAGCGGCGGCGCCGTCGGCAGGGCAGGGCGGGAGAGAGACTTTGGAAGCGTTGGGAGCGGAGGGACTGCTAGTGTCCCCGACAGGCGGGCCAGGGGGGACAAGGGCGTGCGTCCAGGCCGTCCGCGCGCTTCTGTTTCACCCCAAACCGAGCGCAAGTTTGAGTCGAAAATAAGTCGAAAACGGAAGGAATCCAGACATTTGTCCGTTTGAGGTCACGCGCTGGGCCGCACTATTCGTCTGTTTTACCTTCAAACGGACGTGCGCGGACAGGATGGGTCGCGCGCTGGAGTTGGTCTAATGTTTGCACCACGTATCCTGCGACTCCGAGGCAGGCGAAGCATGTCGGCAGGCGACCACTACGAGGCCGGCCGTGTGACCCAAAACGGAGGGACGGGAGGCCGCCGCACGTGGTCGAGGCGAGCAGGCATGGGCGCTCCGGGAGGAGATATGCGTGATGTGCGCGACGGCACGCCCCTCCTCTCGCTTCGTTCCATTTTCAGCTTTTGTTTTCGCTGTCGCAGCACGCATAGTCGCATACGGCCCCCTAATCCATCCGATTAAGATATTTCGCGGTTAGTTAGTCCACGCACTCCACTAGCAGGAGTGCAGGACCCGCAAAGCCAAAGCGTTTAGCTCAAAAGACACGCACGCACTGTAGATATTTTCCTCCGGTCAGCGACCGCCAGCCTGGTCCCCAACCAGCCAAGCGGCTCGCTCTCTCCCGTAGGCTCGAGCCTCAGCCGCCGTCGCTCTCACGGCGGCCGCTCGTGTCGCCACGGCGCGACACGCGGCCCCACCGCGCACGGCCGAGATCGCGCGCGCTGCGGCTCCCGGCTCAGCCCGGAGCCGTGACCCGCCGAGCGGCTCGGTTTACTATCTATTCTAACCCGCCGGCGTGGTTTGGCTTTTGCCCCTGCGGAGCCGGGCGGGCCGCGTGTCGCCCCCACCCCATAGTGAAAAGCGAGGAAAAAAGGCGACGGAAATATCTCAGAGTGGACATCCCACCGTCGCAGACCAGCCACCGCCCCGAATAGTTTTAGCATACCACCAGACAATGGAGCGGGGCGGACTGCGACGAGCGGAGGCAGCCGCCGCCGGGCGCGGCCGCCGTTCCTAGCACAGGTCACTGCTGAACCGGCCGCAACCCATCATCATCCGGCCACAGGAGCTCGCCGGGAGCCGAGTTGATTGGGGGTACCAGCTGCCGCATACATGGAGGAGGAGACGTCCGCAGATCCAACAGCCGCCTCGTCCTCCTTCGTCTGCTCCTCCTCTGGCTGCGGGCTCTGCTGATTCCTCGTAACGCGCCCGTGGGAAGTCTCTGCTGATTGCGCACAGGTGGCTGCCTGGGGCTTGGGTATGGTGGGCGCCGGCGAGGGGGGTCGCGCTGGCGGCAGCGGCGCCGGGGTAGGCGGAGGGCAGCCGTTCGTGGACCGGAGCAAGGTGAGGATCCTCCTCTGCGACAGCGACCCCGACAGCTCACGGGATGTGCTTCGCCTCCTCTGCAACTGCTCCTACCAAGGTCAATTCACCTTAGGCTTGTTGTTAATCATGTGTTTGCTGCTTGCCGTTGGCCTTATTATTACTAGTACAACTAGTATCGCCATGTTGTCTTCTAATGATGTCTCTGGTGCTCGGTGGTGCTGCTTTATTTTTTCAGTAACCTGCGCCAAGTCTCCACGGCAGGTGATCAACATGCTCAACTGCGAGGGCGCTGAGATAGACATCATCCTGGCCGAGGTCGACCTGCCAGTCTCCAAGTGCTTCAAGATGCTCAAGTACATTGGCAGGAACAAGGAACTGCGCCACATCCCCATCATCAGTAAGCTGTCATCCAGTTCCCATAGTTCTGTCCAATTCCTGTGCCATGCTTGTAGTAATGATATCGTACGGATGCAATTACGCAGTGATGTCCAACAGAGACGAGGTTTCTGTTGTTGTCAAGTGCTTGCGGCTCGGGGCAGCAGAGTACCTGGTCAAGCCGCTTCGCATGAATGAGCTGTTGAATCTCTGGACCCATGTGTGGCGAAGGAGACGGATGGTAAATCACAATCTGTTTTTTCACCTTCACTAGTAGTTTTTAAAAGAATGCTCTAAGCTGGTCTGCCTGCGGTCATTGCTGTACTGTTTATGAATTGTTCCTAAATTGAATATTGGTGTTGGCAGCTTGGTTTGGCCGAGAAAAACTTCTTCATTGACAATCTTGAGTTGGTGCTGTCGGAACCTAGTGATGCCAATACCAATAGCACCACACTCCTTTCGGACGAGACAGATGATAAGCCGAAAGGAAATAGAAATCATGAAACAAATACCTCGAGTCAACATGAATACGAGGTAATCAACTAATTTATCTGTATGTAGGAAGTTCTACAACTGTCCGATGATTGGTTTTCTCTTTCTTTCTCTGTAGTGTCTTCCAAAATTTATGTTGCCGCAAATATGTGCTTTTTACCACATATGCTGTACAATGATGAGATGCTCATTGCTGTGCATTAAGTTACTTATTAAACCCTTGCTTTTCTTATCATCCCCAGTCTCCTGCTGTGGACCCCCCCAAAACAGACCAATGGGAAAATTTACCTAGCATTGCGGAAGATGATGATAAAGCATGTAAGTGTCTTCAGTCTGACCTTTGTTTTTCTCTTCAGCTGTTTTTGTTTTGTCCCCTCTCATGCTACCTACTCATTCATAGTTCTCAGCCGGTTTCTAAAGCTTATCTTTTTACCAGCATCTCCAGGAGGAATGTTTTCACGCCCAATAAAGACTAATTTGAGGATAGCTGAGTCATCTGCATTTCTAGCATATGTTAAATCAAGCACTCCAGCAAACAACCCATTGGATAATGAACTACAGAGAGAGGGTAATCAGATAGATGTTATGGATCACCAGGGTAATTTCTCTGGTGCGACCGACAGAATCGACACTAATAGTAGTATAAATATTCAGGATGAAGAAGCTTTTGAGACGCCTATGCAGTATCCTTTGGTGTGCTTTTCTTCCTCTAACTTGCATCTGGAGCAAAGGAATGAGGGCCAACAAGATGTTTCAGGAAACCCTCCTGTGTATCATTACCCATTTTATTATCCAGGGATGGTAGAGCATGGCATGGCACTTCATTCAGTTCAAAGTTTCCAAGGAAACATAAACACTGCTCAAGCTCATACGCCACCAAGAATGCTCCATCAATACAATGTTTATCACCAATCCCATGGTGCATCGATGCAATCGTATCAGTATAGTCCTGCTGGTATGAATGTGCATTCAAGTCATTTGTCAACGCGGAATGTGTGGTCGTCGGTATCAAGCACACCAATTCCCGAGGAAAGACATAGTCGATCTGGCAGGAGGGCTGCAGCACTTGCAAAATTCAGGCAGAAAAGGAAGGACCGCTGTTTTGACAAGAAGGTGAGGTATGTTAATCGGAAGAAAGTTGCTGAAACAAGGCCGAGGGTGCGGGGTCAGTTTGTTAGGCAGGCAAGCAACACAGATATAATTAGCACTGGTGATGATATATCTGAATATGAAGACGATGATCCATCCTCCAGGGACGTTGAGTTGGTTTCTTCACCAGAATAGCTGAAAGGTCATATTATATGTGGAGTGGTGTGCGGATGATCATTGCTTACTTTGCAACTCAGTACACATATGCAATACATTATTCCCGCTAATAGCAATGCATCATTTTGCTTTCACAATACATCCTCAACCCCCCAACCCCTCAAAAGAACTTGTGGCATATGTATGGATATTGTGGACATTTTGAGCAATTGTATTTTGACAATGTAAGTTAGTATCACTAGTCAGTGATACACATGGCATTATAACCTCTTTGTCTCTGCGCTTGTCTAGTTTCATTGTCTCTGTTCTTTAATACTACACATAATATTTGTTTTCACCAAATGCAAGTTGAAGAGCACCATCCAAATTTGCCTAGCGGCAATGATTCTTATATGGGGGCTGTTTGCTATTGCCTGTGTGCATTTTAGGTGAAAGTTGCAAAATTGGAAATTGTGGTTGCCTGCTACCTTGCCAGTCGCCCCTTACATTAGCTGGTACTCCCTCCGTTCCAAATTACTCGTTGCAGAAAATGGATGTATCTAGAACTAAAATGCATCTAGATACATTCATACATGCGACAAGTAATTTGGAAATTCATACATGCGATAAGTAATTTGGAAATTCATACATGCGACAAGTAATTTGGAACGGAGGGAGTATTAGACATGAACGCACATCATGATTCCTCATTAACAGGCAAGGTGAGGATATCTTTCTCTAGCTCATACGTAATAAGTTCAACTGGGTTAGCATGCAATTTCAGTTCAGTTCGTAAACACTACAACTGAAAGTTCAGACAGTCCATTAAGATGACTGGCATAAACTACCTAGTTCAATAAATAAATATCTTTTTACTTTGCCATTGGTTTGTCAAATTTCAAGACAAACAATCATCTTTGAACAAACAATAATTACAGCTAGCAAGTTTCAGATTTGAACTCCAACGTTAACAAGATGTGAACGAGAAAACTGGACAAGTTTCAACTCCAATACAAAGATAAAGAATGAGAATGAAAGAAAAATTCCACCTGCCCATGAACTTTAATCGCTAAGGGGCGCTGGGGTGTCAACGGCAGCTGATCGCTTGGAGCAAAGAAGACAAGGGTAGTTCAACACTATCAGAAGCTGTTCGTGTGAAGATCACAAATTAGCGATTTCACTGAGCATCACATAATCAGCAGAATAACAAGAAATCCTCTCCTTGTAGCACAGAAAAAATAATGATTTAGTCACACAGTGAGCACATAGTACAAAAGAGTACGATCCATCGATAGCATAGCATTACATTCAGAGGTACTGCAATAACAAGCAAGATAAGTAGCAGTAATGATTCTCTCTTCACATAGCTAATCTACACTCCAAACAGCATTCAGCAAAGAAAACAGATCTCTTAGGAGGACCCATCCAGTGCTTCAGTACTTTTGTGCGGGCTGTTGGGTTGGCAGCAATCCAAACCTCTTCTTCAACAGGTAACGCTGACGTGCGTACTTGTCATCCGGGGAGAAACGAGCTGTATCACAAGCAATTATGTAAGCACCATTCTTTAGCGTGAGAATACTCATAGATATCACAACTCATCTACATTCTACAACTAAAATACAGATATCACAACTCATCTACATTCTACAGTACATAGCAGAACAGCACTTATGTTCAACTGAAGAAAACCAAGATATCACAACTCATCTACAGGTTAAACGGGCATACGGGCATATATTATCAGTGCTTCTAAGAGGAGAAGCTCACCACCCAAGAACATATATGATTTGAGGTATTCTACAAATATCTACCCACACACCTCAGAGCTCAAGGCAACTAGGATGGGCAATTTCCGGACTCTTAACTTTTCAGAATCAACCATAATAGAAATGCATAGGAAGTAAATCTTCCAGCATCGATGGGTTCAAAACAGAAACAATTTCAGATGGGAACTTCAATTCTTACTGTGATCCCCGGGTAATCAATTATAACTCTAGTAAGAAAACATTGCTGAATAACAAAGCAACAACAACTAATGGTACATCACAATGCTCTTTAAGAATCGGCTCCTAGTTCCAACACTCAAAACAATAATACAAAGCAGGTCAAGCAAGCCGAAAAATTGATTAGATATTGTAGCAATGTTCCCAGCATGAATTCAGCACTGTTTTGATGCGAATCCTTTGGATAAGTTATCGTACAATGGATAAAAGAAAACATCTCCTCGCGAACAAATTCTCCTAAAAGACCAAGACCAACACAAAAACACCTACAGTTTCTCCAAAAAGTATGTGTACATACCATGCCTACATGTCTGAAGTCTGAGACAAGCAGACTGGTACTGCAACCTGACATAACAATCACACATGTATACCCCTCTTTTACAGCACAAGAGGCTGGCATACTATGTACAAACTCTAACGAAGGCAAATAATGTACATGTAACAAGATCCAACAGCCAAGACAAAACCAGGGAAAGGAAGTTGGTATACCTGGGTGGGCAGACTGCGTCGGCACACCGAGAGGGGATTCCTTCTGCGGTACAGGAACGAGAGAAGCATCAGCACGGGGTCAAAAATACATTACAGATCATCACCGGGTAAGCGCGAGGGAATATATTATCCGACCTTGGTGGTGTAAACCTTCTCACCGTTCTCGTTCGTGTAGAACTGGAGATACATCTTGGCTCAAGGCGCTGGGATCAGCCCTGAAAAATCCGACGGAGCGGAAGCAACCGTATCCGTGAGACCGTCGAGAAGTACAATCGCTGATGGAGGCGGGAGGCGGGACTGGGGGAGGGGAGAGAAGAGAATTTACCAGGAGGTTGGCGGAGGCGGAGGCGGAGGCGGAGGCGGAGGCGGCGGGCGTGAGAAGAAGCGGCGGGGACGAGGGCTGCTCTGGCGGCTAGGGTTTGTGGGAAGCAAGGGGTATAAGAAGAGGAGAAGGATTTGTAACTGGTAAGTGGGACCAGAATTGAGGGGCACTAGTGTGGTAGGACCACGAGGCAGAAATGTTTTTCTTTCCTGAAGCTACTACATGACGAATTAACCAGCGTGATTTTTTAAAGAATATTTTAGGGCATTTTTTTCCCTTTTCTTTTGGATAAACGGACATGATTTCGGTAACAGGTTTTTTTCAGAAGAGATTTCGGTAACAGGTTGCAGGCCCCCTTGTGTTGTGCGTCTTTTTAGGCTTTTAGTGTAATACTCCGACCTATATGTGCGCGATCACAAGATGCTCCGGAATTGGTTTCGGATCTTATTGATGAGGCTACAAAAAGCTGGAACAGACAAGCTCTAAATGATCATTTCATAGCGCCTGATATTGAGATTAGGGACTGTCTAGGTCTCAGTCGACTGAGACTTGAAGTCTCAGTCGGCTGACGTCATCCCTGACAGATTAGGTCTGTTTAGCATCCCTTCCTGATGGGTTTTAATGCTCCCGTGATGGGCTTATGGTGTGGGCTTTGCTTGTTTGTTTGTTTTTTGTTTTTGCTGTTTGTTTAGCCCGTTGTATCTGTGTCCCTGCCCATGGACGCAACAAACACATAACAGAAAAGCAAAGAGCCCATGTATAGTCAAACGACAGGAAAACTTTTGCTTGTTCCTTTCAATTTCTTGTTCCCTTTTTCGTTTTGGACCTGAAAACCTTGTAATTTCTTCTCCCCCTTTTTTTTCTGCACCAATCTTGGAGCAGTATGGAAATTTCCTGATGGGCACACAGGTTTGTCTCTGAGATAACTTCATGGCAGAAAACTCCAACTTTGTCTTAGCCTGATGTTCAAGTTTCTCCGGAAAAAAAAGTGAAGAAAGAAAACTGTAGTATATTAGAAGCATGGGTTTCAGTAGTTGATGACAAAAAAGATAATAATTTTCATACTAGTGCTAATTTTTGTATGTCCAGCACACATACTGTTCAGGACGCGTACTAAACATGTAGTACACTTGCTGTGGGCAGAGAAAAGGTTGAAATTTTTTGTTGTTCTTGACAGTTTCTGAATATGATAAACTAATGAACATGGTTCTTTGCATTAGCCAAAAAAATATGTCATGGATTCAGATTGACACATACTGTCTTCTGCATTTCGTGTAGCAGCCAGTGAATATTTTGGCACGGAGATTTCCAAGCAGACGTGCTCCAGCTCCACATAATTTGGTGACCCCAGTCCAAGTAAGATAAAAATGCGAAAACAAAAAATCTCTCAGATTGTAAATACATATGTTTGAGATGTGTCACCATCCCAGAAACTGACATAAGCATGATTTGTGTTTCCATGGCAGCAGTACCATGGTGTCCAGTATGTGCATCAATAACATGCCTACGATGAATTTGGCATTCCAACCATCTCCAAGTGCATTTGCACCACATGTACGAGCTTTTCTTGAAGAAAAAAAGATTGCTTATGCCCTCTTTAAGTTCCCTGCTTCATAAATGACCTGCCGCTCTACTATCATGCCCTTGTAATTCTGTGAAAAAATAAGATTGATAAAGAAAGAAACTTATACTGTTATGAAAAATGCACGTGATGAATTTCCTTGGAAATGGTAACATGACCTACACACATTTGCTGTTTGCTGCTGACCTAGAGGTACTATAAAGTGCATTTTTTTGTTGACTTTCACATGCATAGTTGAAAAAAATAAACTACATAACATGTTTGTGGTCACAGGCTGGTATTGTTCATTGACATACAACTGGGCCCCATGTCTCTCGACGCTGCCACCTTCGACAAAACAAAGGCCCCTCTAGTTGCGATCAAACAAGAAGACATGAAGTTGCGTGCCCATTGTGGGACATGCAACTGGCGCCTGACCCCGTACAACAAGTAATGGAAGTCGAGTTGTGACCAAGTTATAAGGCATGCAGTTGCGACCAAGTTAGAAGACATACAGTTGTGTGTCTAGTGTGGGACATGCAACTGAGCCGCCCCCTGCGACAAAACAAAGGCCCCTCTAGTTGCGACCAAGCTAGAAGACATGCAGTTATGTGCCCATCATGCTGGGACATGCAACTGGCGCCTCTCCTCATACAAACAAGAAATGAAAGTCAAGTTGCAACTAAGTAATAAGGCATGCAGTTGCGACCAAGTTAGAAAGACATGCAGTTGCGTGCCCTATTGTGGAACATGCAACTGGGCCCCGTGTCTCTCGACGCCGCCCCTTCAACAAAACAAAGATCCCCTAGTTGCAAACAAACTAGAAGACACACAGTTGCGTGCCTAGTGTGGGGCATACAACTGGGCCCCTCTCTCTCGATGCTGCCCCATCCGACAAAAGAAAAGCCCCCCGAGTTGCGACTAAGTTAGAAGACATGCAGTTGCATGCCTAGTGTGGGGCATGCAAGTGGGCCACCTCTCTCCCTCTTTGTCGCCCCTCCGACAAAACAAAGGCCCCTCCATTTGCGACCAAGCTAGAAGACATGCAGTTGCGTGCCCATTATGGGACATGCAACTGGCGCATGTCCCCGTACAACAAGAAATGGAAGTCGAGTTGGCATGCAGTTGCGACCAAATTAGAAGACATGCAATTGTGTGCCTAATGTGGGACATGCAATCGGGGCCCATCTCTCTCAACATTGCCCCCTTCGACAAACATAAAGATCCCCCGTAGTTGAGACCAAACTAGAAGACATGCAGTTGTGTGCCTAGTGTGGGGCATGCAACTGGGCCCCATCTCTCTCAACACCACTCCCTTCGACAAACAAAGCCCCCCCGGTTGCAACCAAGCTAGAAGACATGCAGTTGTGTGCCCAATGTGGGAAATGCAACCGGCGCCTATCCCTGGACAACAAAAACGGAAGTAGAGTTGCAACCAAGTTATAAGACATGCAATTGCGACCAAGCTAGAAGACATGGAGTTATAAAGACATGCAGTTGCGTGCCTGCCGTGGACATGCAGCTGGGCCCCTCTCTCTCAATGCCGCCCTCTTCGACGGAACAAAGAACCCCCCTAGTTGCGACCAAGTTAGAAGACATGCAGTTGCATGCCTGTTGCGGGACATGCAACTGGCCCCCTATCTCTCGATGTCGCCCCTCCAACAAAACAAAGCCCCCCAGTTGCGACCAAGTTGGAGTTCATGCAGTTCCATGCCTAGTTTGTGACATGCAACTGGGCCCCACTCTTCTCGACGTCGTCCCCTTCGACAAAACAAAGCCCCCCCCCAAGTTGCGACCAAGTTAGAAGACTTGTAGTTGTGTGCCATTGTGTGACATGCAAAATACTGGCGCCTCTCCCCGTATAATAAAAATGGAAGTGGAGTTGCAAACCAAGTTATAAGACATGTAGTTGCAACCATGCTCGGAAAAAACATGTGGTTGCACGCCTAGTGTGGGGCATGCAACTGGGCCCCTCTCTCTCGACGTCGCCCCCTCCGACAAAACAAAGGTACCCCCTTAGTTGTGACCAAGTTAGAAAGACATGCGGTTGCATGCCTAGTGTGGGGCATGCAACTAGGCCCCTCTCTCTCTCATGCCGCACCCCCACCAACAAAACAAAGGTCCCCCTTAGTTTCGACCAAGTTAGAAAGACATGTAGTTGCCTGCCTGTTGTGGGGACATGCAACTAGGCCCCCCTCTCTCGAC